AAATTCTATTTTTAGTAGCCACGGCAACACCGTTCATCGAAATCAAAAACCAATACAAGGAAATGTATCATAGTGTAGTCTACTTGTATGCCAAGTTAAATTGAAATTAGACCAAAAATGTAGGAGTAGCAGACGGACGGACGCCGGACGCATTACTATCGCATAAGCTCCTCTGGTCTCTGACCAGTAGAGCTAAACATGGTGACCATCACAACCCGAGTCTTCTGTCATAGGAACGTCGTTTATCCAATATGGATAGAGTTGTGGGGACCTGTTTTTTTTTAATATTTAATATGTTAAAAGTCGAAAATAAACTATATTTTAGAGATTTAATAATTATATAATTGTTAAGATATTAAATCATTTTTCTAGCGTAAGTTCCAAATCTTTCAGAACGAATTGCCTAACAAAGGGCACATCTCTTCCCCCAGCTTGCTTTTGTTGGGCTAGCCTAAAAACAAAGTTATTTTTAACCATCTCCCCCCTTCACTAAAACAACCGAATCCAATTTATAATTGAACGTCTGGAAAGTCTTGTACCAATTATCATAAGATACTTCAAAGGAATTTCCAAGTTATACGTTAAACTTGCTCGAGTAAGACAACCATTTTTATCACGAGTCACGTACATATTGACGTCATTTTCAAATTGTGACGTCACAATTACGGAGAGAATGATTACGTTTCATATGCTATTTATAGAACATGTGCTTGATCGTTGGTGTGTCAAATTGCATTCTCATCGGAATCGTGGTTTTACAGAAATAGTTCGCGAACGTTTTTGATCACCCCTCGTAAATTAATATGTGATAACACAGACAGTTCTGATGAAAATGATGACTGTAAATCTATCTTTGACAATGATGAAGAGTTCTTTGATGCTGAAACAAATATTCTTAAAGAAATTGATAACATGCTAGACTTAAGCAATCACTGCCTAGTTTTGAGAGTATGCCAGGGCATCAACAATGGTGGGAAACATGGGATAATTTGCATAACGGGCTTCGCCCGTTTTGCTAAAATTATCCCATGTTTCCCACTTTTGTTGATGTCCCTGGCATACCCTCAAAACTAGACACTGATTACTTATATTTTCATTTTCATTTGTTTTTGTAATCGTCCAATTTAGCAGATTGGAAATATACAAGACATTCCATGTTATTTTCCATTGGCCGACCTGTGACGTCAAATTTTACTATTAAAAAAATAGTCCCATAAAACACGAAACAATCTTAATGATTATTAAATTATACTGCAGTCAAATATTAACATTTATAATATAAACAAAAAAAAATTATATTACGATCAAAGCAATCTTGCTAACTTTAATTATGTGACCTAGATTTAGGTTGTCGGAAGCAGGAACACGTGTATAGGCACTAGGTCACTTCTCCGCCGCCATTTGAATGCAATGTTGCAGTTGATGAAACAGGAGTTGATCAGCATGGTCAGGAAACAGAATTGTGTGTGTTAAAATAACAGAGGACGTTGAATTGCGTAAGAAGTTGGATGGTAATGACTGAGGGACGATGTCTGTATCGGATGATCTATGTGGCAATGCTGATTTCTCCACGTGGTTCGGATGGGCTGTTTAGTAAACATGTTTACAGAAGTGAAGTTCTCGGTCTCGCGAGGCCTCGGTGATTATGGACAGCGTTGCACAAGTGACTTGTAATCCGAAGATAGTTCATTATTTATTTTGTTTGTAAAAAGATATATAATATCTAATTACTTAGTAAACAATTATACAAAAAATAATTTTTTCCCATATATTTATACGCCAATCATATACATGCAAGTTTGACATTTGACCTTCAGTAGTATTTCAATCTTCAGAGAAATTTATATGCCACAGGAATCACGGCGAAATAAACAAGATTCACTTTTGTAGTGTTTATCATAGGGAAAACGATTGGAAATGGAAATATAAACATGTAAATGAAAATGTGCATGATGTTTTGATTTTAAGAAACAACAAATAGAGCTTTTTAAAAAAGCTTACCGTCTTTAGCAACAATCTTAAACAGTAAACTGATCTACACCTATCAGGCCGTATAATTCTTTTGAATTTCTTGATTTTTAGCTCTACTGGTCAGAGACCAGAAGAGCTTATGCGATAGTAATGCGTCCGTCGTCCGTCCGTCTGTCTGTCTGTCTGTCTGTCCGTCTGTCTGTAAACAATTTTTCAAAACCCTACTCCTCCTACAATTTTTGTCTGATTTCAATATAACTTGGCACACAAGTAGACTACACTAAGATACATAAAATAGTGCATCGGTTTTTGATTTCGATGAACGGTGTTGCCATGGTTACTAAATATAGAATTTTCTGAGTAATTCCTTTAAAACGCTACTCCTTCTACAGTTTTGGTCTGATTTCAATATAACTTGGCACACAAGTAGACTACACTAAGATACATAAAATAGTGCATCGGTTTTTGATTTCGATGAACGGTGATGCCATGGTTACTAAATATAGAATTTTCTGAGTAATTCCTTTAAAACGCTACTCCTTCTACAGTTTTGGTCTGATTTCAATATAACTTGGCACACAAGTAGACTACACTAAGATACATAAAATAGTGCATTGGTTTTTGATTTCGATGAACGATGTTGCCAGGTTACTAAAAATAGAATTTTCTGAGAAATTCCTTTAAAACGCTACTCCTTCTGCAGTTTTAGTCTCATTTCAATATCACTTGGCACACAAGTAGACTACACTAAGATACATAGAATAGTGCATCGGTTTTTGATTTCGATGAGCGGTGTTGCAATGGTTACTAAAAATAGAATTTTCTGAGAAATTCCTTTAAAACGCTACTCCTTCTACAGTTTTGGTCTGATTTCATTATCACTTGGCACACAAGTAAACTACACTAATTTACACATAATAGTGCATCGGTTTTTGATTTCAATGAACGGTGTTACCATGGTTACTAAAAGTAGAATTTTCTGTGGAATTCCTTTAAAATGCTACTCCTTATACAGTTTTGGTCTGATTTCAATATAACTTATCACACAAGTAGACTACACTAAGATACATAATTCTGTGCATCGGTTTTTGATCAGTACAAACCAGTAGAGCTACAGTCTCGACAGAGACTTCTGGTGTATTTCTACATTAGCTTTTTACTGGCATTAGCCCTACCACAGTTGTCGCTCGGTCATCTCCGTAAACTTTGACTGGCCGAGAGCTTCCGGCAAACCTCGGCTGATTCCATTCCCTTCTTCAAATAAGAAAGGGGAAAAGTACAATAACAAATTGTAAAGCCTGCAATAAAAATCAAATTTTATTTATAATGAAACTAAAGAGATCTTTTTATTTATTGCTATACAAAAATCATGTTATTAGGAATTAACTGCTGCTGATATTGTTGTTCATTTTGTCATTTTTTTTAAGATTAAAAATCTTGCAAAATTGTTAAGTCGTACGAAAATTAGACCATCAGAAAGTTATCTCCCTTGCCTTGAACTGCATTTCAACCAATAAAATAATTGAAAGTTTTCTCATCATGCATTTTCTACCAATCACAAAAGAGAGGAAGTGCATAGTCCGAAGACTGTAAAAAACTTTAACTATACAATTACCGTCTTCCTTGGAAGACGGTAATCAATGAATATTGTGACACACCTATGGAAAACGAGGCAAAACTGTTCCAGACACTGGTGTGTTATAAACCAGATATTTTTCAGAATTGGTATGAAACGCAAAGTCAAAAGGTTCAGGAAATTTCAGATGCAGTGTTTCCAAGAGTTGAATTTAGATTTACCAGTAAGCATATGAGCAGCTTTTACAAGGAGTTTAATAATTATTTAAACTCTGAACAATTTCTACAATCCACTTCTAGAGTCATTTATAGTTATACTAGTTCTAAGACCTTTGGAGTTTAAAACCATGTTATGTCATCTGTTGTGTTTAACATACAGAAAAAATTCTTAAAAGATCTAATGGAAACTATTCAATGTGATTCTCTGCCAAAAATTAATTGTAAAGAAAGTGTAAATATTTCATCAGGTGGGAGAGGTAAAATAAGGTACATTGCTGGATACTGTGTGGCAAAATAGACGACTTTCACATGTGCAAAATTTATTCCCCTTAGCTTGGTCAATCTGGGGTCAATCGGCGTAGGGCACTGTTTTCCCTCTATAACCTTACCAACTTTATGGGTCAGTATCTTAGAAATAAAGTACATGTATGTATGAATATATACATTATGTTTTTCATGTTGCCCCATAGTCTGGCAATACAGGTACAGATCAAAATTTTCCGATAACGTTTGAAGATTAAATATATTAACAGGTAACTTACAAAGGACAAAGTGGGAAAAAATGAAAGTTACGCCGACAACGGGAGATAACTCTTAGGAATGTGAAAATCTTTTATGAAAGCCCTCACTCAGGAATAAACTATTCAATATCAAGTTCCTGAGTGAGGTTCAACATTTGCAGAGGAAAATGCAACTACTCGAATCTGTTTGTATATCAGAAACAGAGTTGGCTACATGTACATCTGATGCAGGAATGTTGGAAGAGAAGAAGAGGAGACAAAACATCAAGGAAAGCTTGACCAATGTAAATGACTCTGTGTTTTCCTTTTTTATGTTTCTTAATGAGAAATGTTGGAATTTCTTGAACTATGAAACATTGTTAAGCCATGGTGAAAATCTTTTTCAGGGACTGAAAATGTTTATTCTAAATGACAAAGAATTGACTGTTGCCTGTATAGGTGTCTTTGAAGACAGACTTGTCCCACTGACTTCAAATCTAAATAAAGAAAGTTCTGCAAAAGATATTGTTCAGGATATCGTAATGGAGCAAGTACTAAATTTGGAACTTATTCTTGCCCTGAAAACAGAAATATGTGAACTTTTTATGAAAGTTTGTGCAAGTCAATTCAGAAAAGACTTTTTAAACTTTGTAAAAAAGGAACAGAGCAAAGCTTTGAGGGAAAAAGTCATGGAAAAATCTAAAAAGTGTTGAAAAACTGGATACAGAATTTTTTATTTATAGATGAATCCCATAATAAATCCGCGAGTCATTATCGTATGAAATCTGAACTAGCATCAAATCACATCTAACTAGTAAATAATTTTACTAAAAACAGTTTAATTCTCATTGGAAAAGTCTATGGATTTCAAATACCAAATCGTTTCAAGAAAGATGATATGGCTTCAAAGATTCATCAGAAAATAATGGAAATGAATGAAATGCCACACCCAGAGAAACTCGTAAAGCCCAAAGACCAGATAAACAATATTCCCTGTTCATAGGTAGTAAGAATGCAGAGGCACCCTAGATCAGACAATAATGCTCAACAAGAGACACTTCCTTCAACGTCACGGTCAGGTGAACAAGAGACACTTCCTGCAACGTCACGGTCAGGTGAACAAGAGACACTTTCTTCTACGTTACGGTCAGGTGAACAAGAGACACTTCCTTCAACGTCAGGTGAACATGATGAAGAAAAATTGAAACAAGGTGAACGTAAATGCTCAAGCCTAAAGAGAGTTTGACTAGAGAATACTAGAAAAGGAAATGGTAGGGGAAAGGGGAAGGCAAAGAAAAGTAGACGTCGTACTAATCCCTATGAAAGCTGCACCATCTGCAACAAAGAATATACAGAAGGAGAACAGTGGATACGCTGTGATACATATCATTTCTGGTTTGATAGAGATTGTGCAAAATTACAGAATTATGAACTCTGGCATCAATATTAATTTGAGGCAGCCAATTTTGATTGTCTTCTTTGTCTGTAGTTCAGGGTTGGTAATTTGTAGCATTTTATTGACAAATTTGAAAACTATGACTAATTGTAAAACATACACTTACATTATGGTTGATATATAATCCCATCTATCTAAACTAAACTCTTCATGAAATTTGTAGTATTTCATACTTCTGAAATTTTGCTGTAATTTTATCTTTACATTTTCCCTTTCAGAGGAAATCAGAGCAGTCATATACAGTATCAAAAGGCGGTCAGTTTTGAAATGATATGAATATCCCCAGGTATGATTTTATAATTACATGTAACTATAATTTTCCATATATTTTTCCAGGTCTTCTTTTGTGAAGATGACCCACATGGTATTGCTTTTCATAATAAATCAATCTATGGGTTAATTACATCTCACCAACTAATATTTTGCTTGTTAGTCATCAATCTGCATGCTCAAAAGATGACATAATATACTTGCACCCGTGTGTAAAATTTCCTGAAAAACATCAAAATATTTCCTGCATAATTTGATGCTATATTAACTTACCTCACCTCTTCAGTTTCTTATTGGATGGTGGTACAACCTGAAATGGCTCTGCAGAACATCCTCCAGAATTTGATTTTTTGGAGATCGTGGTTTTACCAAGAAATATGGAATTGATAGGTCGGGAATATGCCAGAAAGGTAGGATTTGTATATGCTCCATTATGTAATGCTCTTTCGTGGCTAAATATATTTTCAATTACATCACTGTTAATTCAACTCGGATTTATGGAGCCATTTGATCGTTGGAAAGTGTTTTGGCAAAATTCTCTGAAACCTAATATCAGGGATGCAATGTCTTGTGTTTGATGAGAAATCAGATACTTTCTGAATTCCTTTTTGAATTATCTTCTTTGATTTCTCTCTCCCAAGAAGTGAACTAATACAGAACTTTGTCATTTTCCAATGGTCTTAAGTCTGAAGCTTCAGATAATGGCCTTGAATCTCTGAATTTTTTGTAAGAATACTTGTGTTCTCCAATAGCAAAATTGAGCTATCCAGCATATATTGCTCATGTAATTCAATACTTTTCCTGTATTTCCTCATCAAATGGAGAATCTCTTCAAGTACATTTTCTGCCAGATGGTTCCTCATATTTGACTCACTTGTGAGGAAAAAATGTTCCTGATTAAGTTTCCTGTGAATGGGAAATGGGTTTGTTAAAATGTCCCACAAATATGCATTTTCTAATGTTCCCAGAAAATATACTTTTCATTACAAATTTAAGCTTTCTTATCTTGTGATTTTTACCACTTTGAAACTTTGTTTCGTATTTTTTTCATTACATGTAAAAAGTCCATGAAGATGGAGATCTTGGGCCTGTTCGGATTAAAGACATTGTGGAATGTGAATGAACCAACTTCTTGATGGTGAAGAAGAATATTCATAATGTCTCTTGGATTGTGCTCCATCCATACTGAGGAAAGGTTCATTGAAACCAAACATAGCCAGGTCATTGACTGCTTTCCAGAAAACCAAGTATAGCTCAGAGGCTGATGCTCAAGTGGATGTGAAATACGTAAATGGGAAACGGAATCCTGTGTTACCAAGGAAAAGAAATTGCAAAAGATATGTTGATAGGCGAACCTCATTTCTATGGTGTATTAGTGTGTCCATAGCAATGGACTCTTCAATAACATCTTTAAAGCCCATCATTTTTAAATTTCCATCTTTCTTAGAGAATTGAATGTCCTGCTCCAGACTCATCTCATCAATGAGTAGACCACCTTCATAACCCTCTGATGAAATATTTTTGTTTCTTGCCTCGTTCAACATCCAGTGGAACATTTCTTTGTTAAATTCTAAAGTTCATAAGTATTGATTTTAACTATGACATAAATTAACACTAAGCAAGTACCACTTATATATTTTTACTTTTCAATAGTGAACAACTGAATAGTTTCTTGTTGCATGTTTAGAAAATGTTTCTGATTTTTTGGACATTCTGGAATGACTGTCAAGAGAATTTTGTCAAAAAAATCAGTGTGGTCAGTGTCAGAAAGAATAATGTGAGATTTATCAGGTTCTTCATTTTTTTGCATTCCTGTTTTGAAACTGAGGTTGCTGTTTTCTTTCGAATGTCTTTGTGAAAAATTGGTTCCTAGGCAAATTGCGTATATACCGGTAGCATGCAAAGACTGCAGGATGTTCCTTTTTCTTTGCGCAGAAACATCTTGAAATTGGTGACTGCTAACAATTAAATTGACAGCCTGAAGTTTTTGCCTAATCTTCTTGTTGAGTGATTTTTGGGTTCTTTAAATTTAAATAATACCAATATTGTAATAATTTGTAAAAGTAAATCTAAATTGTTTTGAAGACAAATAACAAAATTTAAAAAATATATTTTGAAGTGAGGATAAACTATATATACACTGTAGATAAACATGTACATGGTAAACTTAAATGACATTAACTGTTATCAAGAGACATAATTATACAGATTGCATTTAAACATGCATCTTAAATTGCACATGTTATGAATGGCAAGAGAATATCGAAATTATAATTTGGCTAGTTCTCAGTTCCCAGTTTTTGTTTAATCTCTTAAAAATTTTAAATTTATTTAAAGCACGTGATAAGTCTTCTATCTTCGTTCCCGATAAAACTAGTGGAATGGCGTTTTGTTCTAAACAGTAATATTTATAAAATTAGACACGTTTACTTGAAAGACAAATTGAAATATATAAGTGAAAGGCAAACTTTGGTAATGCATTGCTTGTGAGGTAACAGCCCAGAGAAAGATATATCTTTTTTTTTTTTGAAAAAAGAAAATAATTTAATCCTGAAAGGAATTGGTTAAAAGAACAATTCCATTGGAATTATAATATTCATTCAATATAGCATTCGAAAGAAAATTCGCGAAGAGTTATTTTTTGTGACATTTTGTGCGATATGGTTGTGTCATTCCTTTCCTAGCTAGAAACCAATTCATTAACTAAGGCTAAGTTAATTATCTGTAGTTGAAAACGTTTTGTCAATTAGTTGTAAATCTATTCAAATTATTTAAAAATAACATTTTCTAATAGTAAATTTAAGACGTAATTTGCAAAATGTCAATATTCAGGTGAGAATACATTTACAATGTAAATACAATTATATCTAAAATGTAAATGAAGAAAAGTAATAAATAATTTATTTATAATATGTATTGTTTGAAAAAAACACACCGGGGTCTCGAAGTGTGTTTTCACTTTGAAATGACAACACTTTGAATACAATTTTCACTTAAACTTTTTTGCAGAAAATGACAACAATGTAAAAGATTAGTAATCAAATTAAGGCCTGAAAGCCACATATATTAAAATTTCATATACTTTGTATAAATTGCACTGTTAACATTAAAATTGTAAACAGTGTCACATCTTCTGGCAACTAGTTAATCAATAAACCACAAGATCCTAAATGCAGAAATAATAATAAAAGTTCCTAAAACACGAAAGAAGAGGGGATTTTTGTGTTATTTTACATTTCAACGATGACGAAATCTGAATATTATGAACTGTTGTACAGAAACGTCATAATATACCATTATATTCCACAACGTTAAGATTAGTCTAAAGCATATCTATAAATGAGGGCGTTCGCTTGTACTTGTTAATTGTTTATAACAAATCATTGTCTTTGCACTTCTTGGCGATTGATAATTAACAATGCAAAGGCACAATTCAGTTGTCAAATTCACATTAATGTCTCCAATGTGCTAATGAAGCTCACTCGGGTTGCACTTTGGTTTGCTAGTTTTTATTCTTTTGTGGTAATCCCCTTTCCGTGGGTGTATTGCGAACACCCTATCTTAACAATGTTTCCACATGCCTCTTCCTCCTCCCAGTTCTTTATGACGTAAGTAACGTTGCCAGCGTCATCTAGAATCTCGTCCTCAGCATAACCTAAAAATACAATTTTATACATCGGTGTACTGCAATGCAGATGGGATGTTGGTTCTATAATGTGCATCGTTTGAAATTAGAGACGTTTGCGTTTTATTTAGTTATAGGGTGGAACGATTTGAAATCATAAAGATGTTAAATTCCCTTTTTAGCAAAAAAATAAATAAAAAAATAAAATACGTTTTAAAAAGTTCAAACTCATTAAAACCTCATAAGAATTGTAAACCTAAAAGAAAATATATTTCGTCCCTTTTCCATACAAAAGGCCCATGGGCCTTACAGGTCACCTGAGCATCATGCAACAACTTTCAAATGATTGAATTTGGTTCATGTTTTAAGCTAAATATTGTAGCATTCACAATTTTGAAAGAGACACCATTGCTAATCATAACTATACACTTAGCAATTGTTTAGTTTGTTTACTTAACACCAATAAGCAGGGTAGGGGAACAAAAATGCATGTCAACTAATCAGTAATATTCAGCAATAATCACAAGTGTCCCTACCACACATGAACCCCTGACCCTAAGTCTACACATTGCACAATTTTTGAAAAGACACACTTGCTTATCAAAAATGTTTTATTAATACCAAGGAGCAGATTTCAAACAATTCATTTTCAGTATATAAGTAGCGCCCCCCCCCCCCCCCCAAAAAAAATAAATTTGGTATCCCTGACCCAGGGGCCTTGAAATTCACAATTCTGGAAGAAGAGCCCTTGCACATCATATCTATATAACTAGTTCATCTGCTTATTATCTAGGAGTAGAGAAAAAGATTTTCATAGATGTAATGAATTTTCACTATATAATCATTATAGAGCCACACCCTAACACCATAACCCCTGTCCATGGGGCCATAAAATTCACAATTTTGGTAGAAGCATTCTTTCTCATCATAACTGTGTACTTAATTAGTTTACTTAATACCCAGAAGCAGAGAAGCTTTTCAAAGAATAAATGCATTTTCACTATAGAATCAATAGAGCCCCCGCCCGCCTTTACACCAGAACCCCTAACACTGGGGTCATAAAATTCACAATTTTGGTAGAAGCACTCTTGCTCATCATAACTAAGTACTTAGTTAGTTTATTTAATTCTTAGGAGCAGAGAAGAAGATTTTCAAAGATTAGATGCATTTTCACTATATGTTCAACAGTGCCCCCGCCCTAACACCAGAACCTCTGACCCAGAGGCCATAAAATTCACAATTTTTGTAGAGACACTCTTGCTCATCATAACTATGTACTTAGTTAGTTTATTTAATACTCAGGAACAGAGAAGAAGATTTTCAAAGAAATAATGCATTTTCACTATATAATCAATAGAGCCCCGCCCTAACACCAGAACCCCTGACCCTGGGGCTATGAAATTCACAATTATGAAAGAGGCACTCTTGCTCATCATAACTATGAACTTAATTAGTTTATTTAATACCCAGGAGCAGAGAAGATTTTCAAAGAATTAATGCATTTTCACTATATAATCAATAGAGACCCGCCCTAACACCAGAACCCCTGACCCTGGGGTCATGAATTTCAAAATTTTGGTAGAGGGCTCAATGCTGATTACAATCATACCAACAGTTTGACTGCTTGATGTCCAGGAGTAAAGAAGAAGATTTTTAAAGATTCCACTAATTTAAGTGGTTTTTACCCCACCCCTAGGCCCCAGGGGGGCAGGGACCATGAAATTCACAATTTTTGTTCCCCTTCACCCACAGATGCTTTATTCTAAAATTGGTTGAAAGTGGTTCAGCGGTTTCAGAGAAGAAGCTGAAAATGTTTAAATGTTAACGGACGACGAAAACGAATAGCAACACTCAGGTGACCTAAAAATACAAACCCTGGCACTTGTTCAACAGGGAAGAGGTTAGTCGTTACACCAGACCTCGGTTTTTTAGGTCTCAAGCAAAGAACCATTCGTCATTATGAAAAGATTAATATGCATACTTTTTAATTTCAATAAGACACTACCATGAATCGTTGCTATTTAGTAATTTAATCATTACCTGGATGACTGACCGCCTCTGTCGTGTAATGATTATTCCAGATGCATTCTGGGTCGCCTAGTTCCTCTCCGTTTGTGCGGTTATCGTTATCCGAGTCCATCTTACACAATGTTGGCCAGTCATACTTGGAATCTTTAAAATCCTATAAATCACATTATGACATTTCAAAAAGATATTTTTTCTTCGTTTGTTAATGTATAGACGATGGCATAATTTGTAATTTGCCTGTTTTGGAGATATATATAAATACAGTGAAATATCAGTATCTCGAATTTGAGGGGACTCGGGAAAAACTTCGAGATATCCGGTGGTCCTAGATATCCAAAGTTGTCTTAAAATTTCGAATCAATAACTCCCCGTCTTGTTGATACCGGTATACGAGTGTATATCTTTTAATGCATAACACATGTGACGAGTCCTTCCGTTTTAAAGTCTCAATTATATTCGCAATAAATATACAGAACAAGAAGTGTTTGTGAAAAACTATGCACCTGGCGGCAATAAAGTTTTAAAAAACATATTTTTAGCATACAGGTTACAGTCAAGGTCACAAGGTCATTGATCTTGGTGTCATTTGAAAGAACCCGATTAGTGTAGTATGCATACCAAATATGAAATCTCTATCTCTCATGGTTCAAAAGTTATGGTGAAGGTTCAAAAAAAGCTATCTTTAGCCATATAGACACAGTAAAGGTCACAAATTCATTGACCTTGGTGTCATGTGAAAGGACTTAATTAGTGGATTATGAATGCCAAATATTAAGTCTCTATCTTTCTTCATTCAAAAGTTAATGGCGAAGGTTAAAGTTTGCAGACAAAAAAACTATATTTAGCATATAGGTCACAAGGTCAATGACCGTGGTATCATTTAAAAGAGCTGAATCAGTGGTGTACGCATACCAAATATGAAGTCTCTATCTTTTATGGTTCAAAAGTTACGACGAAGATTAAATTTTGCAGAAAAAACTATTTTTAGCATATAGGTCACAGTCAAGGTCACAAGGTCATTGGCCTTGGTGTCATTTGAAAGAGCTTTATTAATGGAGTGTGCATACCAAATATGAAGTCTCTTTCATTCATGGTTCAAAAGTAATGGCGAAGGTTAAGTTTGCAGACAAACAGATAAACAGACAGACCGGACAAAAACAATATACGCCTCGGATCTTTCGATCCCGGCGCATAAAAACAATGAGGTTGTTTTCTTTAATGTGTATAATCATAATATAATTATAAAACAATCTTTTTTTTAGGAAATTGCTACTATGGTTATCTATTTGTACGAAGATATATATCGAACAATCATTCATATCACTGCGCATTACAACTCGCTTAAAACCTATTTAATTAAAGTTGATTGTAAATTTTTATGCGCCCGAAATTATTCGGGGCGTATATTGTTTTTGTCCTGTCTGTCTGTCTGTTTATCTGTTTGTCTATCTGTTGTCAACTTTAATCTTCGCCATAACTTATGAACCGTGAGAAATAGAGACTTCGTATTTCGTATGCATACTCCACTAATTAAGCACTTTCAACTGACACCAAGGTCAATGACCTTGTGACCTCGACTGTGACCAATATGCTAAAAATAGCTTTTTCGAACTTTCGCCTTAACTTTTAAATCATAGGAGATAGAGACTTCATATTTGTTATGCATACTCCACTAATTAAGTGACTTCAAATACCAACAAGGTCAATGACTTTTGAACCATAGGAGATATAGACTTTATATTTGGTATGCATGCTTCACTGATTAAGTGCTTTCAAATGACAACAAGGACAATGATTGTGTGACCTTGACTGTGACCTATTTGCTAAAAATTGCTTTCTAGAACTTTGTTGCCGTCGGGCGCATAGTGTTTTCAAAATACATCTTGTTTCTTATATGAATTCACAATGTTATAAATAAGTTGGGTTTAACTATCAAAACGAAACAGATTTTCAGATGAAAAATGATTTCTGTAATTTTCATTTTCTTAAGCACGAGACACAGATTCTCCGATTTGTTCGTTTTAAAATAGGAGCACATTTCTTCCCTAGTAATTTTAATTTTCTACCTGTATACCAGACCCTGGACCTGAAACGAGGGCAGTTGTCACTCACTCAACCGCAGGTCAAACTGTTTGGCAAAAAATTTGGCATGTCGCATTTAGGTGTTTGGTAGCCATAGTACAAAAATATTAATCTTCAGTGATGTTCTACGACCCTTCGCCTACATTATACTTAATACCTAAATTATGAAGAATGGAACATTTCATGCTACCTTAACACAGGAAAGATGCTTGCATCTGTAAGTTGTATGACAAAGTTCTGACGTCTTACTTTTCATTCATGAAATTATTTGCAATAAATGGTTTATGTAGCATACGAAAAAAATCACGCACATTTATTGAGATACAAATCGCATGGTCTTTGTTTTATGATCTTATGTATGCTAAGATAATTGTGACTTGGATAATTTTAATAGATGGGCTTTAAAAACGCACCCATTAAATCTAACTAAAGGATTAACCTTTTGTGGCGAAGTGCTTCTGTTTGAAGATGATATCAAAATAATCCGAACTTCATGAATCTCTTTTAAAAATAAAAAGATTTTAAACTCTTAAATCCTTAAACGCCAATGATAAACTAGTGCTAATTGTAACGGGGACCGTTACAGATGTTCCCCAAACGCTCCCCAACTCTCTTTTTGTGCCATATTACCTGTAAGCTTCATTAAATAAAACAAACTTTATGTATTTGAGACTTTAACAACATTTACCCGGAAGTGTTCGAAGTTCATTCAAATTTTACCATTGCATGCGTGCGCATGCGAATGCCTGTGCGTATTGACCATATCATTTTGTCTACACAATCCATATATTTTAATATACTAAAAATTAAAGTATTTAATCCAAAAGTGTTAAAAAATACGCTCATTCAAGTGTATTTTTGATTTTGTTCATTTCACGTGCACGCACGTGCATACATGAGCACGGTGACCATACCTTCTTGTAGAAGTCCATTACATCTATCTATGTTCTAAATCCCACCCCATATGGTTGAAAACTAAGGGCGTTATACCTGTTAAAAGTTTCAGCCAATCAGATTGCAGCGCACGTACATGCACGTGTATGCATGTGCATGGTGACCATACCTTTCTTGTAGTAGTCCATTATATCTATCTATGTTCCAAATCCCATCCTGTTTGGTTGGAAACCAAGGGAGTTATAGCTGTTTAAAGTTTCAGCCAATCAGATTGCAGCGCACAAACACGCACGTGTATCCATGTGCATGTTGACCATACCTTCTTGTAGTAGTTAATTATATCTATCTATTTTCCAAATCCCATTCTGTTTGGTTGAAAACCAAGGGAGTTATGGCTATTTAAAGTTTCAGCCAATCAGATTGCAGCGCACGTGCATGCACGTGTTTTCATGATAATTGCTACACATCATATTGTAGGATATCCTAATGCATGGCTATGTTCAAAATTTCAAAGCATTTCGTCAAAAAACAAAAAAGATATTGAGATTTTTGTTTCAGCCAATCAGAGTGCAGCGCACGTGCATGCGCGTGAGATCTTGCAATTTTGACCATGTCATATTGTCTATGCTACTAATGTATCCTTATATTATGAGTTCTAAAGCATTTCATCGAAAATTTAAAAAGTTATATCTATATCAATTAAATCGGTCATTTATCATGTTGCACGTGCGCGCTCTTGCAAGCACGTGCGCGCAAAATGACCTTCGTTCCGCAAATCTACATTACATGTCTACTGACCCTAAAAACATTTCACCTTAGTCTGATGTGTAGTTTACAAGATCACTCGCGGACAAAATTTTCCCAGGAAGAAAAATAATAAGAACTAGTGCTAATTGTAACGGGGACCGTTACAGATGTTCCCCAAACGCTCCCCAACTCCCTTTTGGTGCCATATTCCCTGGAAGCTTCATTAAATAAGACAAACTCGATGCATTTGAGACTTAAAAACGTTTACCCAGAAGTGTACAAAGTTCATTCAAATTTTAGCATTGCACGCGTGCACATGTGAATGCATGTGCGTAATGACCATGTCATCTTGTCTACACAATCCATATATTTTAATATACTTAATATTAAATTATTTAATCCAAAAGTATTAAAAAGATACGCTCATTCACTTGTTTTTTTTTTATTTTGCTCATTTCACGTGCACGCACGTGCAAACATGAGCATGGTGACCATACCTTCTTGTAGATGTCCGTTACATCTATCTATGTTCTAAATCCCACCCCGTTTGGTTGAAAACCAAGGGAGTTATAGCTGTTTAAAGTTTCAGCCAATCAGATTGCAGCGCATGTACATGCACGTGTATGCATGTGCATGGTGACCATATTTTCTTGTAGTAGTCCAGTATATCTATCTATGTTCCAAATCCCATCCTGTTTGGTTGAAAATCAAGGGAGTTATAGCTATTTAAAGTTTAAGCCAATCAGATTGCAGCGCACGTGCATGCACGTGTTTTCATGATAATTGCTATATATCATGTTGTAGGATATCCTAATGCATGGCTATTTTCAAAATTTCAAAGGATTTCGTCAAAAAACAAGAAAGATATTGAGACTTTAGTTTCAGCCAATCAGAGCAAAGCGCACGTGCATGCGCGTGAGATCTTGCTATTTTGACCATGTCATATTGTCTATGTTACTAATATATCCTTATATTATAAGTTTCAAAGCATTTCATCAAAAATTTAAAAAGTTACGCCTATATCAATTAAATCGGTCATTACACATGTTGCACGTGCACGCTCTTGCAAGCACGTGCGCGCAAAATGACCTTCGTTCCACAAATCTACATAACATGTCTACTGACCCTAAAAACATTTCACCTTAGTCGGATGTATAGTTTACGAGATCATTCCCGGACAAAAAAGTACCCAGGAAGAAGAAGAAGAAAAATAATAATAATAATAATAACTAGTGCTAATTGTAACGGGGACCGTTACAGATGTTCCCCAAATGCTCCCCAACTCCCTTTTGGTGCCATATTCCCTGTAATTTCTATTAAATAAGAAATACTTTATGGAATTTAGACTTAATCAATGTCTTCCCAGAAAAATTCAAAATATATTTAAAAATAGGCATTGCATGCGTGTTCTTGTGCGTAACGACCATATAA